AAAAGGTTTCAGTTTTGTTTTTGCATGTGGGTGGGTATTCTGTTTGTAATAATTGTTTGGATACACTATATTTTTAATATGCTAGTTGTGATAATTTCATGCCAAGTAAAATGTCCATAGTCATATTTTATGTTCCTAAAGTAACAGAATGACTTTCAATCTGGAAAAGAAAAAAGAAGTGCTAATGTAGCATTTTTTTCAATTTTTCCAAAAATGTCCGTTTTTTCCGAGCTTCAAAATTTCCAGAAATTTTACATCTCTAGGAGTGACCTTGGGTCAGTCACAAGTTCTTTCAAAGCTGTTCTCTCAAGGGCAGTTCTCGAGGGAGAGCTCTCTCAGCCCCATCTACCTCACAGGGTGTCTGTTGTGGGGACGGAAAGGGAAAGGAGTTTGTAAGCCACTCCAAGACTCCTTTGGGTAGTGAAGGGCAGGGTATAAGGTCCAATCCCTTCTTCTTCAGAAAGGCAGAGTATAAATCTTGTTTAAAAATGATTTTGAAAGCCCTCTGAACAGCTGTAACATTTGACGTGGCATTTGTACAACCCAGCGGTGCACTGGCTGTGGAGAGACGGGCACCAGAAAGCCCTGTTAGAAGCCAAGACACCATATGGACAGCATACACATAAGAATGAGACAGCATATGCATCTCCCAGGGAACGAAACCTAGAAAGGGAACAGATGCTTAATTAGAAAGTAATTTCATTGACCTAACCGAGATGCAGAACAGAAAAGGGGCGAAGCAATGTGGTGGCAGTACAAGTCATCGAGACGGAACTGTTCCAACAGAAGCAATACAGTAACAAGCAGTGAACTAGAACAAGCAGTGCGCGGGGTGCTTCAAGACTCAGCCCCTGGATATCCAGACAGTAGACGAGTGTGGTTGAATTAGGTACGTGTGTTCCAGCAGCGATGCCCAGATCAGTTGTCCGGCCACTTATCATCCATTCTCTACTAACTTCTTGAATGTATTCCAGCAGTGTGCTCTACAAGGGGCCGCCCTTGAAGACTGTGTGAAGTCTTCCACGGCCTGAATGCAAGAGCTCCATCTATGGTTCACTGAGGGGCACAAAGGGTCCCATATCCTCCCTCCCAGTATAACAACATAAGAAGAGCCCTGCTGGATCAGAGCAGTGGTCCGTCTAGTCCAGAATCCTGTCTTGTACACTGGCCAACCAGTGCCGCTGGACGACCAACAACACGGCATAGAGGCCGAGACCTCCATAGGAACATAAGAAAAAGAGCCCTGCTGGATCAGACCAGTGGCCCATCTCATCTGGCATCCTGTCTCAAACAGTGGCCAACCAGTTCCTCTGAATGGCCAACAACAAGGCATAGAGGCCAAGGCCGTCATAAGATCATAAGAAGAGCCCTGCTGGATCAGACCAGTGGTCCACCTAGCCCAGCATCCTGTCTCACACAGTGGCCAACCAGTTCCTCTGGAGGGCCAACAATAGAGCATAGAGACCAAGGCCTTCATAAGATCATAAGAAGAGCCCTGCTGGATCAGACCAGTGGTCCAGCATCCTGTTGAACACACTGGCCAACCAGTTCCTCTGGAGGGCCAACAACAGGGCACGGAGGCCAGTGCCTTCATGAGAACATCAGAAGAGCCCTGCTGGATCAGACCAATGGTCCATCTAGTCCAGCATCCTGTTTCACACAGTGGCCAACCAGTTCCCCTGGAGGGCCAACCACAGAACATGGACGTCAAGGCTTTCATAAGGACATAAGAAGAGCCCTGCTGGATCAGACCAATGGTTCATCTTGTTTCAGCATCCTGTCTCACACAGTGGTCAACCAGTTCCTCTGGAGGGCCAACAACTGGTCACAGAGGCAAAGGCTTTCATAAGGATGTAAGAAGGGCAGGGGACAGAACCGCTAGCAGCACCACCCAGGGCAACGAAGAAATCAATATTGCCTCTTCGGATAGTGAAGTGGAGATTGTCGGAGTTCAGGAACACGCAAGGTGCTTATTACATTTTTTTCTCTCCCCCCCCCCTTTCTGTTTTTAGCATTGAGGCTCCTTAAGCTGCTGAAATAAAATTCTGAAAAGGACCCAGATGGTTCCTTTTGCGCTTGTATTTCCTGATTCAACCCTGATTGCACACTTGCCTATTGTCCAATGTGTCGAGTGTATTGATTGTTCGCGGTTGTAGGTTTTCCGGGTTGTCTGGCCGTGGTCTTGGCATTGTAGGACCTGACGTTTCGCCAGTAGCTGTGACTGGCAATCCTCAGAGGTATAACACAGAAAGACGGAGTACTCACCTTGACACAGAGAGTACTTCGCCTTTCTGTGTTATACCTCTGAGGATGCCAGTCACAGTCGCTGGCGAAACGTCAGGTCCTACAATGCCAAGACCACGGCCAGACAACCCGGAAAATCTACAGCAGCTAATGAACTCCGGCCGCGAAAGCCTTTGACAATATGTATTGATTGTTGTCGATATAATTAGGATTGGTACTATAGTTTATAATAATATTAGTCTATTGTTTATTATCATATTAAATAGCAGTGCAGCTCTGGAAGCAAAGTAGTAGAATCCTAGAGACGGAAGGAACCTTATAGGTAGCCTAGTCCAAGACCCTGTTACCCGAATTGGTCTAATGAAGAACCAGCACACGGATTCTGGGGTAGGGATTGTTTCGGGGTGGTCTGTATGCACCCTGACCTGGGTAGGCCAACCTCATCAGATCTCGAAAGCTAAGCAGGGTCGACCCTGGTCAGTATTTGGAAGGGAGACCTCCAAGGAATACCAGGCTCATGACACAGAGGCAAGCCGTGGCAAACCACCTCTGAATGTCTCCTGCCTTGAACACCCCGCAAGGCATACACAGTTCCGGTCTAGCATTATAAATCTCCCAGGAGAGGAAACCTGGAAGGGGAGCAAACACTTAATTAGAAAATAATTTCATTGACCTGACCAAGATACAGAATAGCAGGGCTTTTTTTTGGTAGAAAAAGCCCAGCAGGAACTCATTAGCATAATGGGCCACACCCAACAACAGAAACTCATTAGCATATCCAGCCACACCCATGAGAGCATAGCTCATTAGCATATTAGGCCGCACCCCCATGTTACCAGGAAAAGCCCACCAGGAACTCATTAGCATAATAGGCCACACCCAACAACAGAAACTCATTCGCCTATTAGGCCACACCCCTGACAGCACAGCTCATTACCACATTAGGTCGCACCCACATGTTACCAGAAGTGTGGTCATCCAGCCACACCCACCTTTTGCTTCTTATTCTCTTTACCTTGTTTGTGGTCAAAACCCAGGGCTTTTTTTGTAGCAGGAACTCCTTTGCATGTTAGGCCACACACCCCTAAGGTAGCCAATCCTAACGGGTTTCTGCTGTTGGGTGTGGCCTATTATGCTAATGAGTTCCTGCTGGGCGTGGTCAACTTGGGAGCCAGCTGGAACGCCGTTCCTGTGCGTTCCTGCCCAAAAATAGCCCTGCAGAATAGGAAAGGGGGAAGCAATGAGGTGGCAGTACAAGCCATCGAGACTGAACTATTCAACAGCAGCGATACAGTAATGATTCGCTTGGAGCAGTGTAAGAAAAACCATTTGCTTTGCACAATCCTGGGTTCGGTTGTATCCCTTTAAGCTAGTGCCTAGGTGAAGTGACTTTTAACCCAAATTACGTTCCTCCCATTTGGCTAATCCAGGGAAACCAACCTGAAGAGAACAGGTGAGCGATGGGGTCACCCAGAAGGTGCAATGGGATCACCAGGGAAGGCGTTTCAGATGGGAGGCCAGCGAACTGGTGGTGTGCTGGGGAAAGGAGATGTATCCGGTGGCTGGTGACGGAATTCACTTGTCCATCCGGTGTCACTCAGACTGGCTGACAATGGTCCACTCTTATCTAGAGCCAGTTTGGTGTAGTGGTAAAGAGCGCAGACTCAAATCTGGGAGAACCGGGTTTGATTCCCCACTCCTCCACTTGCAGCTGCTGGCGTGGCCTTGGGTCAGTCATAAGTCCTTTCAGAGCTGTTCTCTCAAGGGCAGTTCTCGGGAGAGCTCTCTCAGCCCCACCTACCTCAGAGGGTGTCTGTCGTCGGGAGGGGAAGGGAAAGGGATTACTGTAAGACGCTCTGCGACTCCTCCGGGAACTCAAGGGCGGGGTATAAACCCAATCTCTTCTCTTCTTCGTCATCCATATATCAAATCCCCTGCATTTTGATTTAAACTCACAGTGATATGGAGACAGTAGTACTGAGAGAGGAGCTGTGGCTCAGTGGTAGTGCATCTGTTTCGCATGAGGAAGGCCCCAGGTTCAATCCCCGGCATCTCCATTCAAAAGGATCAGGTAGTAGCTGATGCGTGAGACCCTGGAGAGCTGCTTCCCGTCTGGGTAGACAATGCTGACCTTGATTGACAGATCCTCTGACTCAGTATAAGGCCGTTCCATGTACATTCATGTATCCTGGCATATATTCTGTTGTGGAGAGGTGCCCTGGCTCAGTGGTAGAGCCTCTGCTTGGCATGCAGAAGGCCCCAGGTTCAATCCCCGGCATCTCCACTTAAAAAAGGAACAGGTAGTAGGTGATGGGAAAGACCTCTGCCTGAGACCCTGGAGAGCTGTGAAGAGGAGCTGTGGCTCAGTGGAAGAGCCTCTGCTTGGCCTGCAGAAGGCCCCAGGTTCAATCCCCGGCATCTCCACTTAAAAAAGGAACAGGTAGTAGGTGATGGGAAAGACCTCTGCCTGAGACCCTGGAGAGCTGCTGCCAGTCCAAGTAGACAATACTGACTTTGTGAGGTGCCCTGGCTAAGTGGTAGAGCCTCTGCATGACATGCAGAAGGTCCCAGGTTCAATCCCCGGCATCTCCAGTTAAAATGGGCAGGTAGTAGGTGATGTGAAAGGCCTCCGCCTGAGACCCTGGAGAGCGGCTGCCCGTCTGAGTAGACAATGCTGACCTTCATTGACAGATCCTCCGACTCAGTATAAGGCCGTTTCATGTACATTCATGTATCCTGGCGTATATTCTGTTGTGGAGAGGGGCCTTGGCTCAGTGGTAGAGCATCTGTTTGGCATGCAGAAGGCCCCAGGTTCAGTCCCCGGCATCTCCACTTAAAAAAGGAACAGGTAGTAGGTGATGGGAAAGACCTCTGCCTGAGACCCTGGAGAGCGGCTGCCAGTCCAAGTAGACAATACTGACTTTGTGAGGTGCCCTGGCTAAGTGGTAGAGCCTCTGCTTGGCATGCAGAAGGCCCCAGGTTCAATCCCCGGCATCTCCACTTAAAAAAGGAACAGGCAGTAGGTGATGGGAAAGATCTCCGCCTGAGACCCTGGAGAGCTGCTGCCAGTCCAAGTAGACAATACTGACTTTGTGAGGTGCCCTGGCTCAGTGGTGTAGCCTCTGCTTGGCATGCAGAAGGCCCCAGGTTCAATCCCCGGCATCTCCACTTAAAACGAGCAGGTAGGAGTTGATGGGAAAGACCTCTGCCTGAGACCCTGGCGAGCAGCTGCCAGTCAGAGTAGACAATACTGACTTTGACGGACCAGAGGTCTGATTCACTCTAAGGCAGCTTCAGGCGTTCATGCCTCTTTTCAGGGGTGCTGCAAGAATTGCTAGGATAATATGGGCACGAAGTACCTTGAACACGCTAAAGTGCTATGCAGATGTTTAAGTGGTTGACCTGGGATGGTTGTCTTAAACATCCAGCCCATGTCTTAGCAGCCGTCCATAAAGGGTGCAGCACTTGTTAAACGCTTACAAAAAATAAATTAACCCCCACCCCCCAACCTGCCACCCACTTTCTGCAGTGATCTGTATAGCTCAGGCTAGCCCAGTCTCAACAGATCTTGGAAGATGGGCAGAGTCGGCCCTGGTTAGCGCCAGTTTGGTGTAGTGGTTAAGTGTGCAGACTCTAATCTGGGAGAACCGGGTTTGATTCCCCATTCCTCCACTTGCACCTGCTGGTGTGACCTTGGGTCAGTCACAAGCTCTGGCACAGCTGTCCTTGAAAAAGAGCAGTTTGTGTCAAAGTTCTCTCAGCCCCGCCTACCTCCCAGGGGTGTCTGTTGTGGGGAGGGGAAGGGAAAGGAGTTTGTAAGCCGCTCTGAGACTCCAAGTGAAGGGCGGGATATATATCCAATCTCTTCTCTTCTTCTTCTTAGATGGGAGACTGCCAAGGAAGGCCAGGGGTTGCTATGCCAAAAATCCTACAGGGTCACCCTAAGTCAACTGCGACTTTCCGCAACCACTACCCCTTACCCACTGGTCGCACTTGACCCCACGACACCCCCTGTCCGTCCCCCCCCCAATTATTGCTGCATTGTTCTTTGATGCATGACACATAATGCCGTTTTAATGTTTTCGATGTTCACTTCAGGAGCCAGTTTGGTGTCGTGGTTAAGTGCACGGACTCTAATCTGGGAGAACCGGGCTTGATTCCCCACTCCTCCACTTGCACCTGGCTGGATTACCTTGGGCAAGCCATAGTTCTGTCAGAGTTGTTCACAAGTTCTTTCAGAGTTGTTCTCTCAAGGGCAGTTCTCGAGGGAGAGCTCTCTCAGTCCCACCTACCTCACAGGGTGTCTGTTGTGGGGAGGGGAAGGGAAAGGAGTTTATAAGCCACTCTGAGACTCCCAAGGGCGGGGTATAAATCCACTCTCCTTTTCTTCTTCTTTGGGAGATCCTGTTTGGGTGGAAAAGCAGCAGGGAAATGTTCCAAGTAAATAGAAATAAGTATTATGGGCGACCCCCTTGTTCAAGTCCTCAAGGGTCGGACCTGCCTGTGTGTGAACCACCTTCTCTGTGCTCCCGCAACGCTACGTTTGACAGCCACGTTAACGGCATTTGCTCTTCCGCAGGTGTGTCCATCCTCGGGGAGGAGTGATTCAAAGTGTGTCTTCCCGCAAACACGGCTCAGGTCTGCAGTGCACTCGGCAAGCGGAACCATGGACAGGTGTGCCCCCTCCGCAGAACTGGTCTTCGCCGCCGGAAGTGGTGGATCTCACGTTAGACGAAGACAGCAGGCGCAAATATCTACTGTAATGCAACCTCACTGTGTTTTTAGTCTCTTAGCCCCACCCCCTTTCGTGGCGCAGAAGTTCACGCCTCTGCTCTTGGCATTCTGGAGTTCAGGCTCTTGCTGGAAAGCTCCCCCCTTCTCCCTGGACCCTGTTAAAACGACGGTCTTGTTTCAGAACTTTTTTTTAAAAAAAAATAATAACTGACTCCTTCCCGTAGTCAAGGGGAGCTCTTCCCCCTTATGAAAAACCTTAACGGCACTAAACTTCCGGTGACAACTTCCAAGTTTTCCATTGCGGTGTGATTTTAATTTTAGAGTCTTTGTTGACGGGAGCCGCGGACATCTGCTCCCGCCGCTCTGCACCTTTTCGAGCCGAGTGATTTTCTTCTTTTACGCTTGCCACTGAAACAGAATTCCCTGGTGCACGCTTAATCCCTTTCTCCTTGGTTAGATTAGCATTAAAAACACCACCAGCCCGATCTGTTCACGGCTCTCTCAGTGTCCCCGCAGCGATCGTGGGATAACCGTGGATGCTCTGAACCGTGGAGTGTGACCAGAGGTGGTTGTAGCACAAATTGATTTGGTTGCGAAGCCCGTGGGTCTCTTAGCGCAAATGGCCTGTAATGCGCACCGTGTCGCTTTGTTTAAAATTCAGAAGATTGTTCTCGACATCATTTGTAGCTTCGCGTGCATGGGCTAAGCGCTGAGTCTTCTAATCATGTTTTTCCTGCTCTCCGGACTACTGTACTGTTACTAGTCATCTGGCTTAGCTCGTTACAGCCTTTTTTTTTTCCCTTCATACAAAGAGGGAAAAAGCACAAGGAAACAAAGGCACCAATACTTAATTCTGATCATACGTTTTCTTTCTCACATTAAAGCTTTAAAGGTAAGGGTTGCGCTCGAACCCCGTAGCTCCGTGTTTGAAGATCCATAGTCATAGAACGACAGAAAACTAGAACGCGTCTCTCTGGCTTGGGCCGCGTCTGTCATTCACGCTGTCCAGCTCCTCTTCTGTCCTTCTGGAGAGAAGAATTAAGCCGAGGAGAAAGCTCGGGGCACGGGCTTGTTACTTTCGGTTCAAGAGGAGCGTTGGTGCTTTCTCTGGGATGCCGTTGGAGAAGGGCCAGTGTGGTTCCTACTCAGGGTCGCTGTACTTTCTCTGTGGTAGATGGAGCAGGGGGAGACCTCTGGGATACCTTCCGACGGCTCCACCGGAGGTCACTAGAATTGATTTTCCGAATTTTCGTTTTCATTCCCGAATTTTTCATTTTCGTACGAGAAATTTGCGTGGACGCAAGTAGGGCTCCTCCAGACTCATGTCACTGCTGTGCCCTCTGTTGAGCAATGAATTCTGAAGCAGCCACCTCGACCGTATCTACGCAGAGGGGATCCTAGCACATAGAGGCAAAACAACAAGCACCCTTCAATGTCATCTTTGCCTATATTCAGAGACGTGGTGTGACACAAATAGCATGGTATAGTGGTTAGATTGTCAGGTCTAGGACTTGGGAGGCCGAGGTTGGAATCCCCACTCTTATGTGGAAGCTCGCTGGGCGTCCTCGGGCCAGTCACACACTCTCTCTCACCCTAACCTACCTTTCAGGGCAGGTTAAAACGTGGGGATAAAATAGAGGACAACATCGTAAGCCGCTTTGAGTCCCTGTAGGGTAGACAGGAGGCTGTCAGTGAAGTGAATTCAATAAATAAATATATACCTTTAAAACTTAACGCGAGAAACAAGCCCCCCCCCCTCCCCGTTTTGCCGAAAGACCTTTAAACCTGCAGGTCTTTAACATTTTCCCAATCTTTAGTTTTGACCTCGTGACGAAGCAGAGCTGCATCTCACCTGCCTCTTAGCTTGAGGACCCTTCCCCAAGCCAGATTCAACAGACGCCTTCTGCAAGACCTTGGCGTTTGCTGTCAGACGAGATTCTGGCTTTCCTTTCTCCCTGCTTTCTGTTTCTCTGCAGAGGCTAATAAGAGGGGGGGCTCCATCAGCCATCGCCGCCCTGCCGAACGGGCTCCACTTCCACCGAGCTGTCTGCTGAGCCTCAGCCATAGGGTCCATCGTGCCTCGTTCCACTCGATTCCCGCTAAATGGTGACCTCGAGTGTTGACATGCGTGAGGTTAATTCTGGGTGCACACACGTGGTCTCCTTCAGCAGATGAAACCCCTTCTCCTTCTAGGCGGGCTACTTGGCCAGGTTTTTCGTGATGTGGCCGGGATCCCAACCCACCCGTGCGGAGTCTTCCTGCGGTTCCTCTGCCTTCCCGCAACCTCTTGGGACCCCCCAGAACGATTGGTCCCGGGGTCATGGGATGGGATCTATGGTGAGGACCATAGTCTGGTCACACTCCGAGGAGAGACAGGAGAATGACATCGAGATCCAAGTCCAATAGCACCTTAGAGACCCACAAGATCCTTCAGGGTATAAGCTTTCGGGAATCAAAGCTCCCTTCTCGGATACGAGCCACGGGCGCCTTTCTTCGGCAAAGCTGTGCTTTCAGAAGAGGGCGTGAGAGCCATTTCCCCCTCCCGTCCTTACTCCATGGCCCCCTCCTCAACCTGCCTAGTTCTTCCCGTGCTTAAATCCCATCACCCTGGGAATGATCTTTTCTGGGTTCGGAAGGGGCTGCAGGAACAGAGAGGAACGTGGGAAGACTGCATTCCACGCTCAGGAAGCTTAGACCCATGCCGTAATTAGTCTGACAGATCCTCGGAAAGTGGCCTTTAGTCAAACATAGACGATAGCCATCAGTGGGTCACACAGTAACGTTCACGTGGGCTCATGAACGGGTTCAGAGAAGCGTCCCATGGATCTGATCTCTGCAAAGGCTGGTAGAATTGCAGGCTGGGAAGAAGCTGGCACGCATGCTTAGCCTGATGAAAGAAGAGACGGATCCCCCGTAGCAGGAGTGAAGTTGCGTCCGTACAGGTTCAAGGAAGGACACAAGATAGATCATGCCCCCCCCCCAACTACTTACAGAAGCAATAGTTAGCCCGTGCATCCTCACAAGTAGGTGTTGGACTGGCCGGATCATTGCGTGTGGCAAGACCCAGCCTTCGGTCTTGGTTTTTGCTTGAAGCTGAAACCAAGCAGCCACCCTTGAGCAATCAAATCACCCATTCTCATGCCAGTCCAGTCCAGTTGCACGTGATTACATCTTTATTTAAAAGACCATGGACACAAGGCCAGTCTGCAGCTAACATCTCTGTTTAACTGCGCAAGTCTCTCCTTGTGGCGTCATATCTAGCTGAAGCAGCGTTTACTCTTCCAGCACAGGGTTTCCCCCCACCACCACCACCAGTTTATATTGCCAGGTCTCGTTTCGTTTTTCAGCCTTCCATAATCATAATCTGATGGGTCGTTTGAAAACGTCGCTTGAAATTTGCCCACTTTTCACGGGTCAGTTCTAGGAGTCAGACGTTTCGCTGTCCTCGGTAGGACTAGAAATGCAGTGGTGGTTGTTCCTGTCGTATTGATGCTCTTCCGGCAGTTCTGTTTGTCACGCGAAAGCAGGGAAGAAGCAACTTGACAATTTGATAATCCCTTTCTGCAGGGAGAAAAATGGCGATACCTTCCCCCACCACCACCACCACCGTAACGTCAGAAGTCAGATTTTTCTCTCTTAATATTCTTCTCTCTTAAATATTCCTTGCTTGTGAGCTAGAGGCAGCAGAGATACTCCTCGTGACACCGGATAATGTTCTGTAAATCTAGTGGTTCCTACAGAGAACGTTAGGATTTCCCATTCCTCACCTGGAGATGGCGTGTCCTCTCCCAGCCACTTTGCCAGTGAGGCCTTCTTTCACCCTGAAAGTGGAGGAATTGAATGTCCAGATGCTCCCTCCGTCCTGCAGAAAGCTAGGCTAGCATTCTCCTTCCCGATTTGCTAGCTTCTCGTGTGTGCGTGGAGGGCAGGGATCTTCGGCAAGAGCCCAGAGGCATGCTCCTTCCTCCCCTGCAGACTCTTGTCTCGTGTGAACCGGTCAAGAAGATGGAGCGACATACACGATTCCGCACCCAGAGCATAGGTGGGGGGTTCCTTGGCCCCATGCTGAAACAGATAGTATGTAAAACGAGTCCCGCTTTCAGCAGTAGGTGCAGCTGGGGCGGAGGGGGGGTCTGGGCAAACAGCCCCTTGTGCTCAGGAGGATACCCTTTTTACCACCCGCACGACAATTTTTTGAAGCCATCGACGGGGCCTGCGGATCGGTGGCCCCCAATCTAGAGGCCTCTCCCTCTTTGTCTCCTTTGCTGATTCTTTCACTCGCACGTGTCATTAAGTGAGCACCGGCCTCAAGCGCCCCCCCCCACTTCCTGTGTGTGCAGGAACTCCCGCCCCACAGTGCTATCCAGGCAATTGCAGTCCCCGTACATGTCCGAACCCCATAAGGGCGGCCGCAAGCCCCACGGTGCTTCTCTCCCACCCGATGTCCCCGGTGGCAGGAAAGAGGGCAATCACATGGGAAAGATAACACCCGCTTCCGGAGCTTGCGCACGTACCACAACTGCACGGGATGGCGTCACGAGGAAGCCACTCCAGCAAAAGCGCATCGGGGAGGGGAAGAGGGGGATAGCCGAACAGCCCGTGTCCTAAAGCTGCTTCGTACTGCTTCGAAGAAGTTGTCCTTACGAATATGAAAGTCGGGGTGGGGGACGTCACTGGTCCCTGTTGTGTCACTGCACTTTCCCCTACAGTGGCCAGTACCAGAAGCATCAGAGGAACACGGCTCGTGATCCTTCCTTTGAAAAAGAAAAAAGAAAGAAGCTATTTTTTCAGTTTGTATATGCTGTGACTTCCATGTACATATATAGAAATTTACTGCATTCTAACCAAACTTCCTTCAATCGTGCACTGTGGGGGGGTTTTTTCTTTTTCGTTTTAAAGGAATCATGCATTTTTAGCTTGGTAAAGAGTTTTCTTCCTTTTTTTGTAATTTAAAAAAAACACTACACATTTCTTTTGCTCTCTTGACGAATTGTAAAAGGTAATGTTGTTAAAGAAGAGAGAGAGAGAGAACCACAATCACTGGATCACTAAGAGATGAATTCTTGTTTCTTTTCTTTCTTTTTTCCCCTTCCTTCCTTCGTCGTCTTGTTTTGGCTTTTCTCTTTTTCTCCAAGAGAGCAAAAACGGGTCTCCGAGACCAATTGTTGCTGTCTTCTTGGTCGATAAGCGAAATTGTAGCCATTGTATGGCTAAGAACCAATGCACTTGAGAGTTCAGCCCAGGCCTGTGAAATGCGCTTCCCTCCACACCAGTACAGGGCGTCTGTGTGTGCGCGCACGTGTCCGCTCGCTTGCCATTCACGAAGCTCAGCCGGCCAGGTCTTCAAGACTATTTGCATTTTTGGCCGCACCGGCTTCCTGAACATCTGGCGGGCTGCCCGACCCCCTGGCCACCACCCCCAGCTGGCGGGCTGCAGAGTGTTTTCGTAACAGGTCTGGTTTTAGTGGCTCTGCTCTTTTGCCGGAGCTCAAACTTGGAATCTTCCACAAGGGAGACAAGAAAAAAAAAAGATTTTTTTTTTGCTTAGAATTTATTGTTTTCAATTGTGTAATTTTTTGAGTTTAAAAAAATGTTCTTTTTAACACTCGTTCTTATTTCCATCTAGTATTCAGTGGTCTTTGGAGAGAAAAAAAGATAATAATAAAACAGAGTGTTATAAAAATATATATATTTTTGGTGCAAGCTGAGACTTTCTGTTTTTTTTAAACAAGTCTGTAGCATAAAGTTTAAACTATTTTAAGACAAAATAAAAATAGAGTGGATTATTTAAACAATATCACCCTCTGTAGTTTTTGTGGGGGGGGGGGTGCTGGACTATTTCACATTTGTACGGTCGTGTTTCGTGGGTGTTGCTAAACCCTGGGGGTCTTTTGGGTGGCAGGAAAATATAGACTTTATCTCTTACCCGCAGCCAGGACAAACAGATACATTTTACGGGTGGGGGAGGGGCAGCCTAGGCCAGGGGTCCCCAACCTTTTTGAGCCTGCAGGCACATTTGGAATTCTGCAACGGCATGGTGGGCGCAGCAACAAAATGGCTGCCGCAAAATGGCTGCCACGGGAGGTAGAGCCAGCCACAAAATGGTTGCCACCATTCTATTTCAGTAACACACTGTGATCCTTTGTGCTGCCGTGACAGGTGCTGCCAAAGCAACACATTAGAAATCCTGCACAGCCAATCAAATCTCCAGTAGCCAATCAGAAGCCTTGCTGGTCAAAAGCCCTACCTGGCACCACCTACTTCCTGAAAACAGGCCCCACCCACTTCCTGGCACCCAATGGGAACCACGGCCCCCGGCCTGGGCTACAAGCCTGCTGCAACCCTGTTTGTCATTTCAGAATTGAATGTTTTTCCATCATGGCTCTCAACACTGGGAGGGGACGGGGAAGAGTGTAGCTAGTCTTGACCAGATCCAAAGGCCCAGTTCTTGAACTCCCTCTCAAATGGCAAACCCCATTTTGAACACAAGCACTGTGGCAGTGGGGAGTTAAGACACCCAGGGAAATAATCCTCGAGCTGTGCTCTGAGCCTCTCGGAGATACGGTCTTTCTGAATCCTCCCATCTTTTTGTAGACTCTGCCCGAGTCTCTGTCTCACGCCCCAGAATCCATTGGCTGCTTGCTGCCGGGTAGCCCAGCCAAAGTCACCCAGGCTGCGCCAGCATCCCCTTACCTGTAGCTCGACTCCCAGGTCCTTCGAGTCCAGAGGGCTAAATCCGTATTACCACTACCCACTGTTGCTATTTACTGCTAATTGGCCATTGGTTGGGGCCTTGCGGCTGCCAGCTAGATTTACTGTTAGTGGTAAACTGGACACCACAGGGAATTTGGGGGGGGGGGTTCTGAAAGCCCTCTAAAATCTCCCCCTCTAAGGGGCCTGCTTGGGCTGCTTGCTTCTCTTCCCCCTCCCCTTTTTTCTCTTTAATTGATTGTTCAGCTCTCAACATTCCATTCCTTTGAGAGCATATTTAGGCCTCATCAGGCTGCTGTTAAAGCTTTTTTTTTAACCCACTAAATTTACATAGTAATTTCCTTCCTGCATACCTGGGAGTCCCTAACCATGTGGAGATCCCCACTTTGTATATGGGTGGCCCAGTGATACTGTCTTTTTCAGTTTGGTGCAGTGGTTAAGTGTGCGGACTCTAATCTGGGAGAACCGGGTTTGATTCCCCACTCCTCCACTTGCACCTGCTGGATGACCTTGGGCAAGTCATAGTTCTGGCACAGCTGTTCTTGAAAAAAAGAGCAGTTTCTGTCAAGAGCTCTCTCAGCCCCACCTACCCCACAGGGTGTCTGTTGTGGGGAGGGGAAGGGAAGGTGACTGTAAGCTGCTGTGAGACTCCAAGTGAAGGGTGGGGTATAAATCCAGCTCTTCTTCGTTATTGTCACGTTGCAGACCTGGGACTGAGGCTGCGTTAACGTGAGAGTTAAGATAGAGTGCGCTGATTTGGGGATTTAGACATTTTGGCCCTCTGATGGTGAAAATCCATGTACAGAAAGAAGCTTGAAATCTAAGAGACACAGGTTCAAATTCCCACTCTGCTATGAAATCTTGCTGGGTGACCATGGGCCCAGCCGCACACTCTCAGCGTAACCGCCTACATCACAGGTTTATTACGAGGATGAAATGGAGGCGAGGAGAAAGACATGTCCCTGCTGTTGAGGCCAGTCGGTGCCCATCTCCGTTTCCAAGCCGAAGAGCCAGCGCTGTCCGAAGATGTTTCCGTGGTCATGTGGCCGGCATGACTAAACGCCAAGGCGCACAGAACGCTGTTACCTTCCCACCAAAGCGGTACCTATTTATCGACTTGCAATTTCTTGCTTTCGAACTGCTAGGTTGGCAGGAGCTGGGGCCAGAGACGGGAGCTCACTCCGTCATGCGGCACACTCGGGTCTCGAACTTCTGAGCTGCTGACCTTCCGGCCTGCAGCTAAGTGTCTTAACCACGGAGCCACCGCG